ATTTTACTCCAAGTGCAAATTTCAAAAGGGTCTGTTTCTCCAAGAATTGTAGGAGCTGAATGTAGGTAAAGCATTAAAAATGAAAAAAGAAAAAAATCACAAATATAGAAGACATTGATTTTTCAAGGTTCAATGAAACTTTTTCGTTTTAAAGTACTTCAAGAGCAGGGCCGAATCTCCTTGAGCTTCTGTTGGTTTTATTAGGCAAGTAGTTTGTAACACAAAAGGAAAACTTACAGATTCCAAATATGTGTAACACTAACATAATGGGTAATTTATTAAACTACTTCCAATAGCTAAAAGAAGCAAAACAGTGTATTTCTGATGGAAAAACAATATTGTGACCCCTGAGATGACTGACTGCCCTTGCTGATGTGAGACATTATGATATTGATGGCTTGGAGTGTTCCAGCTCCTGATGGGAAAGTATTGCTTCTACCATGGCAGCAAATGTCTGGGACTGTTACAGCCAAGCTTGCAGCACAGAACCTAAATTGCAAGATATCTTTGTGGGCTGTACAAGAGGCCAATCAGTGCACACTGCAGAAAGGCCACCCAATTTATCCAAAAAGAAAAATCCAGGCAAGCAGTCACCACGTTGGAGAGAAATGGGGAATATCAAAAAGACCCTCTGTCAACCCTGTGGCATGACCTTCATGATGAAAATGTAACTAGAGTGCCAGGGTGAAATTAGCAATGGCCCCCAACCACAGTGCTATCTTAGAAAGCACGCGTGCAAAGAAAGCTAAGATGAAAAACTGAGTAGAAACAAACAACTCACTGCTGTTCCCTGGCCCCCTGTCCTCTAGCCTCTCCAAAAAAAATTCATGAGAAGGCTTAAACTTTCAATACGATCCTGACTTGTCAAAACTCTTTGAAAGGCCCTCTAGGTTAGATCCTGCAATTTAGGGTCGTGTCAACTAGGTGCATCCCAGTTAAAAGAGCATGAGAGATGGAGACGAGACAGAGGTTACGAGGCCACATTCTACACTGTGATGGGACATCGGGACACAGACGGGTCAGCTCCTACCTGGAACATGGAAATGTTTAGGGGCCAGAGCATAAGTTGGAGTCAGAGGACGGCTGTCTGGCCGGTAAGGGAGAGGGGAGTTCCGGCCGCTGGATGGCTCATTGCCTCCAATGAGAAGAATGGAGAAAACAAAATGAGAGAAGGGAGTGCAAGAAAGAAAAACGAAGCAAGCATAGTCAAAATCCAAAACAACAAACTGGAAGGAGGTATATCAAAAAGGAGAACTAAAAGAAACAAAATCAATTTAGCAACATGGCTCACAGAGGTGGTAACGGGTTTAGTTTTCCAAAAGAGAGATTGGTGTTCAAGTGAAACCAGGTTAAAAGCAGCTAGCAGTTAAATGTGTCATTCCAAAGGCATGCAGTTCCAGGTTGTGAGCCAGCAGCAAGCCAGTCAGATAGAAAGGATAAGAAAAGGAATGGAAACACAGTTGCTAATGATTCAGGACTTCAAATGATTATATTACAAGCATGTAGAAGAGTGGGCTAGACAAACCCAAATGCAATCCCTTCCGGGCAGGTGACAGAGGTTGGCAATTGGAATGCACGTCTCTGAACCTGTGGGGTCATCCAGTCCTTGCTCTTAGTGATACCGAATGGCTCTGATCCAGCATGTTTCTGATTTCCTTACTTTGAAATACACAGGACAGTCAGAACCCCTTTCTGTTAGGTACTTTGGAGCCATCTTTCTCTTTGAAGATGAGGCATCACCAGTCTAAGAACTCAATCACTGAAACATTTACAGTGGCTGGGTGGGCACTGAGCGACTGTTAAGGATAAACGGATGTACGAGGTATAATCCCTACATTTACAGGACTCAGAGTCTACCTAAGGAGGCAGACTTAAGGAAAATAAATATCATAGCATGTAACTGGTTACTGTTACACAAATAAATGCTATGAAACTCAGATGAAGGAGCTATTCATTCTTCAGGGAAGTCCCCGAGAGGATGTTAGACTTGAGCTAGGCATGGAAGAGCAAGTTGACCAGGCGGCTGGGTGGACAGAGGGGTGGGAAGGCAGGTATTTCAGAGTGCTGGGGAATTACAGAGGAGCCCTGGTGGTATTTAGCATTGGTCTGTTAACGTAAGGTCGGCAGTTCAAACCCACTAGTCACTCCATGGGAGAAAGATGAGGCTGTCTGCTCTCATAGAGATTTCCAATCTTGGAAACCCGAGGTAGCAGCTCTACTTGGTTCTACAGAGTCACTATAAGTCAGAATCAACTGGGTTGGATTGGGCTTGGTTTGGTTTGAGGAATCTTGAGAAAGGAGGTGTGTGGGAGCAGTGGATGGACTCTATGGTGGCCTTGGAGGAGAGAATGGGATGAAGACAGGAAAGGACCAGTTGGGGCTGAGCTTGACTGCAAAAGCCTTGCGTGTCACCCAAGCCTCTAGCATTCCTCCTGATCAGAAGAACTGAAGGGATGACCTTGTGCAAAACTTCTGTCCCAAACGTCCACCTGCTTCACGTCTGAGCAAACACCTTGTTTCAAGGATACACCACAAGATGTAAGGCTGTTGAAAGTTCATGGATTAGTAATGCTATGAATTTCATACTGTGTTGTAAGAGTTCTTGATATATTTGGACACAACCCCCTTATCATATATTGTTGTTGTTAAATGCTGTCAAGTTGGTTTTGACTCATAACGACTCTGTATAGGGTTTCCAAGGAGTGACTGGTGAGTTTGAACTGCTGACCCTGCAGTTCAAACCAACTTTGCAGACCAGTGCATTAACCCCCAGCGCCTCTACAAGAGTTGGCAAGTATTTCCTCCCATTCAGTGGCCTGTCTTTTCATTCTCTTGCTGGTGTCCTTTGAAGTGCAAAAGGTTTAAATTTTGATGTAGCCCAATTGACCTTCCTTTTAATGCTACTGATTTTAAATAAATCATAGATCTTCATATTCGTCAATTACTTTAAGTTAAACGTTTCTAAATCTGGTCAGCAGTGTATGAAGAGTGTTGAGTGTTAGAATTTTAAAATAGCATGTGAATAGTTTTAATCTTTCTCTCTCATATATAGATCTCCTTGGAAACCCACTACAGGGTCATTGTGAGTAGAAACTGACTCAACAGCACTTAACAACAATAATATGCTTACATTTTCTCCCTTAAGAGTCCTTTTAATATCCACTTTCTATTATGGTAAAATGTTGGCTTTACTACTTAAGTCAGATAGTTATTAGCTTCTAAATATAACGAAGCTGTGTGCTCCAAGTTGCTGATTTATTAAGAAGCTAATTTTATAAGATATTATCTCACTTTTTTATCACTCTTCTAAAGAAAAATAACTTGCTTATGTCTGAAAATTAGTATAAAAACACAGGTAGAGGCAAGCAGCAGAAGGAAGACTGTTTACATTTAGCGGGAAATTCCATTTTAAACCAAAGGCTGAATTAGAACGAGAACTCACCGACTGGGGTGTTGCCTACACTCAGCAGAGTTTCTGGCCAAGAATAAGTGTTTAATAAATGCTTGTGAATGAATGACTGAAACAATTAAACTATAATTCATTGTGCAGCTACATATTCGTCTGATTTAGCGAGCACTGCTACAGGATTTGAATCCTGGTGTGGCGCTGTAGCATAAGCGCTGGACCTTAAGGTCGGCGGTTCAAACTCACTAGTCACTTCTCAGAAGCTCTATACAGGGTCGCTATAAGTTGGAACCAATTCAATGGCACTTAGCAACTACTATACAGGTTAGCCATCACCTGTCTCAGGTACTGTGATCAGAATCACTCACTCCTTTGATAAGTTTCCCATTAGTTATGTAGTCATCAAAACGCCAATGAAACAATGCACTTATGAACAATTTCTTACTTCTGTAAAAGCACTATAAATGATTCACAAGACAAATCCATAACTGAGCAACAGAATCATTCTTTTGGACTACTTTCACAAGAAGATCTACAGCGTTCAACTTGCTTGCTTCATTTTAGGATGTCTTTTGGAGCCTCTTCCTGGGTATTGTGAACACTGGCCGCTGCTGCCTCTGAACATACAGCATCCCGACCTTCACCCTTCCCTCCAGCCTTACTCCACTTTTAGAACGTCAGACTATTTCAACAAGTTCTCACGGGTTGGTTACTAATTCCCAATCAGATAAAACACTATTTAATGAATTTTGATTATTATTACTCAGTGTCATGGACACACAAAAATATCTGCTTATGTGGAACACAAAGGTTTAAGGTTATCAGAACTAGACATCTGTCCAGACATTAAAGTCTATCAGTAAGATCCTCTGGTGAGGAGCAGCAGTCACAAAGACTCCACTGGACGAGCCTAAATCCCCACCGGGTGAATTCTGGCTGAAAGCTGTGTTGCCAGTTGGGTACACAGTTGAATAGCTCGGTTTTTTTATTGCGTGTCTTCAGTAACCACTGGCTTTTCTAGCTGCTAGGGAGAAAGCCACCAGCATGTTCAAGTCTGTGAACACAGATTTAACTCTATGGTCATTTAAACCTTCTCATCAAATACCAAAAAACATCAGGTAAGGGCAGACTCAGAAACAGAGCCACCTCAGGGCCGCATGATCTGAACCCACACATTACAACAGCTCCCCAGTGGAACGAGCCTCTGAGAGTGTTGTCAGGTATCCAAACCTTAACCTTCTAGATATCAAAGTCATTACATACGTTGTTAGCATTTTCAGAAGAAATATTCTTGAATATTCTCTAAAGCTTCTTTCCCTTTTCTAGTTTGAACACCTTTATCATAAATGATGCACCTGTCAACTCTGCCCTGTCAGAAATCATTGGTGACAGTCCTAAAGGGTTTTTGTGCTTAGTTTACTACCAGACAAAGGAATCTCTGGGTTCCAGGTGACAAGTCATATAGAAGGTATCACTGTCGTCATCATCATCACCAGAACAAGCCAGTGCTTAAAAGTAACAGGACAGCGTACATAGCACGTAATGAGAGCTCGGTGGCTCCACATGAGAAGCACTGGACTGTGAACCACAAAGTCTGCTGTTCGAGGACGCCAACAGCTTCGTAGAAGAAAGATGAGGCCTTTCTGCTCCCACAAAGATTGGAAGCCTCAGGAACCCTATACAGAGTTGCCACCATGAGTTGGAACCAGCTGTATGGCACTTACAACAACACTCATATATAATAGTGTATTTATCACACTTTGTCCTTTTAGGTAAGTTCTCACTCTCATGGCAAGAACCTACATTGTTTATATCTATGTTTTTTGGACTTCCTTTGTAACTACTTCCTTGTCAACCTGACAAGTCAAGTTTGTTAACCCCTGGAAGTTGATTACTTGCAATTACAGGGTTCTCACTGCACTTAGGCTCCGAATGCTTTCTCCTCATTTTCTTTCAAATCCTAAAACACTCATCACTAATCCTAAAACAAGTGAAAGAAAGCAGCTGAGCACACAGCTGCCTGTGGGAATCTGCTGGAACACTGTGGAGCCTTCTGAAACTCCAGCTGTTTATCTTTTACCACAAAAATTAGTATCTTGAAAGGACCTCAAAGTTGGCAGCATCTAGAATTTTGTGACAGAGTTTCAAGATTGCCAGATCTTGTCCAAAATGTCAACAGAAGTTATGGAAACACGTTTCCTTTAGTAGATGTCAAATACATTTTTGTATCCTAGCAACTCATATCTATGGCAGAATGGGGAAGATTCTATTCAAAGTGACTTAATATAGGTAGCCCTCCTGCTCACGGATCTAACTACACATCACAGACAGAGAATGTAACATCTACAGTATTTCAAAGGGGAAGGAAAAGAAACTCAGCAAACACTGCGCAAACAAAGCCAAAAACAGAAGGAACATCATTTTTCCAAATCTCTAGGCATGCACTTAGCCAAATGGTCCAATAGTGACATATCAACATAGAATGACGTGGCAGATGATGTCAGAGAGCAGAAATACAACCACAGCCACAAACAGGATGGACTTTATATGAAATGGATAGAGAAGCAAAGGAAATCAAGAGACAGTGCTGGGACATGTGTCTTAGTCTCAGGGCCATGCAGACATCCTCAGGTCAACGAACCATGGGGCGTGGCAGACATGCATCAGAAACAAGGACCAGGAAGTGGACATGGGCAAAGCAAGGCTGGGCTTCTGGCTGCTGGAGCTGCTAGGGTCCCATAGCTCAGTAACATACCCCTGAGGTGGACAACCTACACTGGGGTCTCCAAGCTCCCCAGCTTCCACTCATTTAAAAAATAACTCCCTCAAAGTCATAAGACAAGCTCCACGATACAAAGTAAATGCCCAAATGAAGGGCCAATCCCTGGAGAGTTGCTTCATTTTTTAGATACTTGTGATGTGTTCCCTCCATACTGAAATTTCTATGTATGGAAAGACCTTCCAGGTATATGATTACATGTTTTGTTTTGTTTTAACTATAACTAAGAAGAAATACCTTGGAAACTCAGTATCTAGCCATTTAACTAAATTGTGTTTGCTAAACAATGTCTTTATTGTATTAATTCTCTAGGATTTATTTTGTAGTCTAGCAGAAACCTCAACTGATTTAAAAACTATATAGATACCTGTTATGTTCATTGTATTTTGTATCTGATGTTTACAACCTATATAATACAAGCAAACTATAGCCACACACCCAGCATGAAGAAAATGGCGAAGGATCTCTTAAATGGTTTTTCCAGAGCTAGGTTTTGGTCCTGCTAAGTCCTCTGGACTGAATGCTTTTTCCTCACAGGGCTGCTGTGAAAAGTTGAGTATACCGATGCCATCTAAAGTGCTTTGGGGCACTAAACTTCATGCCCAGGAGGAAATCAGAAATCAGGGCTGACATTAACCGAGTGCTTATGAAACACTTAGGACTTCACCTCAAACACCTCTATTCACCTAGGGGGCAGGCCTAAGCATAGTCTTTCCCATTTTATAGATGAGGAAAGTGACTCTCCATGGTCACATAGACGAGTGACAGAAATCATATTCAAACCTTGGAGGCTGTAACCATGGGCTCCCATCTCTCTACAAGGCTGCTCTCAGACACAAGCGTTGTCAGCCAATTATATCTTGTAACACGTTACCTGGACAAACTCTGTACTGCTTTACTGGGCACATGACATTTTCCAGTCTACAAAAAGTAACTCCTCTGAACGATGAAACAGATAGTAACAAAACATGGAGGAGTTTACAGTTCAATGAATTAAAAAATGCATAGTCTCTTGTGTTGGAAATAAGCAAAAAAAAAAAAATCTTCATTTGGTTCTTCATATTAAAATCTCTTCAACAAAATACGTGGGCAGTTTTTCAATCATTTTCTATGATTTTACAAGCATTCTCTGAAGGATCATCTTGTAACTGAGATAAAAATGTTCCTCCAAAATACCAGCTAGCTATCATCTGTCCGTAATAATGTTTAATAACAGTAATTTCCCCTAATCTGTCAAGAATTTTAGAAAGTGCTGTACCTACTGAAAAAGACTGATGTGCCTTCGCTGAGCATGTCAGCAATATTGTTTTTGCAGCACAGAAAAATGCTAAAATAGCCAAGTTATGAAGAAGAATCTGCCTACGGAATAGTCCAAAATCTAAGTGGGCCAAAAGAAAATCACTTGGCTAGGTTGCCAATGAAAGTTCTGGGAAACTAGCAACTCTTTAGGTGTGTTAGTGAGATGAGCACTTTAAGACCCAGGGCAACATCTGTACTGGCCTCTGACTCGCTCCCTTAGCTGTTTTCTTTGATTGGTTCATTTGGTTCAAATGGAGACTACAGAAAAAGTCAGCTTCCTTGTGCACAGTTATTTTAAATTGTGGCACCTTTACAACTTTTTCAGGTTGCATGGCTCCCCTGGCACATGGGGGCGGATGGAAGCCCTGGTTGATAACTGCCCCAGGAGTGTCATGGACAAAGAGGGAACCAACAGAAACGCTATCAAGGGAATGGGACAGAATACAGCAGGCTAATTTTTCAGCCACCACAAGGCAAAACCTCTCCTCTCCATCGTGTAGAAGACCCCTGAAGGGTTGGTTCAAAGAGAGAAACTGAAGTGACATTTGAAACACTTCGCTGATACTTCAGTTGCCATGGATCTTTATATAGCGCTCAGATTATTAATAGTGTTAAGTAGCTAATCACCATCAAGACAACTTTGGGATATTTGTGGCTAAATGCTATAGTGTTTGCTGAGACACATCACAAATTAAAAGCAGGAAGGAAAAAACCCCCAAAAAACAACAAAAACCAAAATCCTCCAGTTGTATGTTCCATTTTGCTTTTGACGTCTACAAAAACAAAATGATACGGTATTTTTCTAAGCAGCAGGTCATAGATCTTATCATTGCAAATGAACTTCCTGTTTCTTCATCTAGAGCCCTTAGAAATGGCCTGTCTCCCCTAAGGAGAGCCACTCTGCCAGTTCTAAGGCACCGTTGGGTGGATCATGACACACGGCAGGCATGCTGAGAGGTCAGAACCTCAGAGCTAGCTCTTGGAGATCTGCCTTATTAGCCTTCTCAGGGTGCTAATAAATCTCCACTCCACAGGGTGCTGCCTGGGAAGCCTGGCTCCTTACCTTTGATATAGGGAATGAAGTGGTGTCGGAAGGGGGAGTTAGGTCGGGAGTCACTGTGGGTGGGGCTGAGGCTGCTGGTGCGCAGGTAGGTCAACCTCTGCACACCAGGAGACAGCAGCTCTGCGCAGCAGGGAGTCGGGGGCGGGGCACGGGGGGAAACAGAAAAAAAGAACAGAAATTAACAGGGAAGCAGGGGCACTGTCCTTATTCCAGGGGGTGGAAAAATCAAGAGCGTTAATCAGGAGTCTGAAAAGGAGGAAGGAAAAGGGTTAGGATGGTGATGAGTGGGAATGTTTGCAGATTCACTCTCTGGGAAGAAACAGCTTCAGTGAGGAGGAACCATTTCCTGAACATTGTGTGTTAGAATGATGCCAGTCCCTGGAAAGTCAGTACAGGGGTGCATTACTGAACCTCTACAGCAGCAGTTTTTACTAAACACCTGAAAAAACAGAGCCCTCTGGAACACATGTGAAAAAATGATAATCATTTCAAGAAATTTGAAGAGCAGTTCTTGTACGCAAGAGGCATATTCTTTCTTAAGCTGCTAACCGCTCCTATTGGAAACTTGGTTATATATTCCCATGTAGCAAAAGAAAACTGGGGATCCAGAAACCAGTCATCTCAGAAGAAGAAAGGACCGGTGAAAGTAACAGACCAAGGGGATTTGAATCGTCATCTGTGATCTAGAACTGGGGGTGTGTAGATAGTTTAGGAGATTCTATAAAGATTATAATTATGTTATCAAAACCCCACCAGGTTCCACTATTTTGTATATCTCTATGTTGTTGTTGTTAAGTGCCGTCGAGTTGATTCCGACCCATAACAACCCTGTATAGGGTTTCTGAGGAGCAGCTGGTGAGCTTGAACCGCCAACCCTGCAATTCAAATGGCTTTGCAATCTGACGCATTAACCCACAGCACCACACCAGGACTCTGTATATATCTACATGTCCTTATAAATCAGTATCACATATACAGAAATTAGAGGGAGCTACAAATGGAATGAGAAGATAATAGAATCTGTCCATGAACTTGAGAGGTGGTGAAGTTCTTGGAATGAGGTTATTAGAAACAGAACCCTGAGGCCAATTCTCCAGTGCTCACTAAGGACATGGCTTTTGGGGGATCAGTGTCGGGATTGATCACTTGCCCACTGTTCAGGGATCTCTGAAAGAACAACTTCCCTGTTCCCCCAACACTACCCCATTGACATCACAACTGGGGTCTTGGTGACCTCAGCATAATGCAGGGGCGTCGGCATAGAGAATTTTTCATCACCCAAGCAGATAAGGACCCAGGGCACCAATAAAATGATTACAGCTGTACATTAAAAAGAAATTCCCTCCCAAATTTCACTTAGCATGACTCACTAAACACTGAGCAAATATTTAGGGGCCTAGATAAAATGATCCGCTGTTGAAAGACAGAGAAGTAAGAATTCAATCCTCTACAACCGTGAAATCTATAGCTTCAAAAAAAAGATGGCAGCCTTTTTACATCTTTTTAACGTTCTTACACATTTTATAAAATCACTTAGCAGGTGGACGATGACTTTATCCCAGGAGTGAGAAGCTGAAAATGAGATCTTCATAAATTACCCAGTTTGTTTAGAAGGCCACTAGGAAATAGATTCACTAAGAAGATTGTTAACCTTCTCCGGGAACCTGGAGACTGTGTTGGGATCGCTCTTCTCCTCCATGTATGTGGCCCCACTGGACGCAAGTAAAGGCCAATCGGAGTCCACTGCTATTAGCTCTTTTCTACTATAGTGTATTTCTGAGACACATGAGAGGGTTTCAAAAAGTTCATGGAAAAATTTCATTATCTTCTAATTAGATTTCACCACAAACCTTTTCAAGTCCCCTCATATAAAACATTGGAGTCCTGGTGTGGTGCTGTGGGCTAATGCATCAGACTGCAAAGTCATTTGAACCACAAGGTTGGTGGTTCAAGCTCACCAGCTGCTCCTTGGAAACCCTATCCAGGGTCGCTATGGTCAGAATCGACTCAATGGCACTGAACAACAACAACAACAACAGCATACAAAACAACAGCAAACTGTTTTATAAGTCTGCTTCAAATTTTTTGGGATAGAAAAGGTACTGATCCAAATGTGTCCTGTAACACCATGTTACTGAATAATGGAAACATAACAAACCTGCCAACAGACGGCTAACCCTGGATTTTAGATGAAGCTAACATGCCTAAAAAGCATATCAATGTATCTTTGCTTGGAGATCTTTATTTTAAGTCTCAAAGGGATGCGATTCTCTTAAAGCAAAAACAAACAAAAAACCCTCTCCAAACAAAACAATCTCCTCTGCTTCCACAAATAGTACATGGTCATTATTTTAAAAATCTCATAAAATAACTGATGCTTCAAGAAAAGAGAGAACATAAAACATAGCTGACTACCAGTTTACATGTTTTGTTCTTCTGGAAAAGAGATAGAAATATTTGGCAGCCAGATTTTTCAGTACAGTATCAGTGGTGGGAAAACACCCACAGAGGAAGACGGAATCGTAGGAAGAGTTGTGCTTACCAGGCCTATGAAAATGCTGAGGCGAACGAGATGTGGTTGGAGTGTAACTGTGGCGGCTATACACGGGGGAGTTGATGGAACCCTGGCTAGTGGACCGATGCATCATCCGATCCCGAACATCTTGGTAACCCTGGAAACAAAGAGTGAGCACAGAGAGTAGGCCACCATCACTGTCAAGTTCCAGAGCATTAGGCCGACCTACTCATGCAAGCTTGTTAAGGACCATATCCCTTCAATATGTGTGTAGATGAGAAGTTAGTGGCTAATGCATTTTGTCCAAAACCTGCAGTACTGTGTTTATGAAAATTTTAAGACACATCAAAACTATAAACGCCACTATTTCTAGCACTGTGGGAAAAGAGGCAATAATTCTCAGGACCACTTCTATATTGAGCTTATCAGTTTTACAAGCTCAATAAAACTGATAAGCTCAATATAAAAGTGGTCCTGAGAATTATTGCCTCTTTTCCCACAGTGCTAGAAATAGACCCTGTACAGGGTCGCTATGGGTCGGACCCGACTCGAGATGGCACTTAACAACAACAACAACAACATCAGTTTTACAAAGCAGATTGACATATATCCTTTTATCAGGTCTGCATAGTAATCATGAAGGTAGTGTTGAGACATTACTTCCCTTCTCCACTACTGTAGATACAAGGTTCCAAGGAAGCCAGTGATCCTGTGTGTGGCCACGTGGTTCGTATGGCAGAGCACACTTTGCAACCAGCATCACCACTAGTTCCAACTGCCAACCCACCATGTCTGTAACTGTCATCTGGTGACCTTTTTGATTCTCTGGGAGAACAATCTGGTCATGGTCTTAAATCCAGTAATTCTAATTTCCACTTAGAGAAACACATGCCAAAATAAATAAAAATGATCTTTAAAAGGAATAATTTATTCATAGGTATTTATACTATCATCCTTTATGAAGACAAAAATATTGATTATATGCTTAACAAATTAGAAAATTATTAAGCAAATGATGGCGTATTATTTCAATAAATATAATCATATCATTAATATGTCACCTATCTCCATCCTAGAAAAGAGTCTAAAATTAGGGTTCAACACACACACAGACACACACACACAATACAATTGCTAAAAGAAATCAAAGAGTACAAAGAATGTTTTGCATTTTAAGAATCTGCTTTCCTATGAAGTTTCTACTAATGCAATAAAAAACAAAAATTCAAAATAATGCATGATACAATTATTTTAAAAAGCCAGTAAGCACAACTTTGTGAAATTCTAGAGCAAATGGCCCAGAAACTTTGGTTTATCCTTGCTGGCTATAATGATAAAACAAAAAAACAACAACACAACAAAAAGGTCCCCCAAATGATATGCTTATAACTGATCAACAACAGACATTCAATCTTCACAATCTTGCTCATTAGCGGTAATGCTAATGCAAATTAATTATTCATGGCACTCAGTGATAAATCATCAGAATACTATAGTTATCACTCTATGAGATTACAGGGATATCCTTCGGATCAGTTTTTCTAATTTTTTAAGACTAGAAACTTAGTTGGCTTTAAGACCAAACTATTGATTCTTGATCCAAAGAAGTAGCCTCAAGAGAAGATTGCTGGTCACAGATACACAATGTCCACTATAGCTTATTTCAGACGAATTCGTTATGGGTGAGAGAGAGAGAATCGCGCACATATTGGGACATGTGGCTTCATCCATTGTAGACTCAGTTCAGTATAAGGCTATTTTTATCCGCAAACTCTATTAGAAATAACAACACCAACTGCCATATTTGAAGGAACTGTGGTAACGTACTAGTTACAAGCTGGGTTTCTAATCTCAGGGGTAACAGTTCAAAATGACCAGTGGTTCCAATGGAGAAAGATGAGGCTTTCTGCTCTCATCAAGATTTACAGCTTTGGAAGCCCTATACCAGGAGGCCATGAGTCAGAACCAATCCATGGTACAGCCTCACCAGCACCACTGCCATATCTTATATGGTCATATCTTACAGGCTTAAGTACCTTTTACATTCATCACAATCTTGAAGACCATTTTGTTGTTGTTGTTCTTTTGTGTTATGTCCTTTAAAAAAAATTCCAGTCTAGGAAAGTTCCAAGCAACTCCCAAATTCCACCCATTAAAATCTCCAAAAATGGTACTTACTTCTGCAGACGGAGTAGGAGATAAAGTCCTTGGAGACTAGAAGAATAAAAGAGAATTTAAAGTCACCACCTTTATCAGCTTTACCAATTTTAATTGGGAGGGCCTGACAGAACCACCTGGAGACATCATTCAAACTCTACATCCTCGTCTATCTTCTAATTCAGTCTGTGAGGGGTGGGGGATGATGATCCGTTCAGTACTAAAAGTTAGGGTCTACTGAAACACAGGAATGCATTATAAACACAGTCACTGAAAACAGTTGGGTGACAGTGATGAAGGGCATGGGGCATCTTGTCTTGGCCACTGAACAACCTACCAGTACTCACCCGCCAGGTTACAGCTTTCTAGACACAGAGACCTCCTTTAACAGGACAAGGCCTCCCTCTCCCCAGGACCTTTGCACGTGCTGTTCCCTCTGCCTGCAGTGCCTTTCAGTCTGACATCTGCAGGGATCCCCGCCCCTCCATCTCCACACAGTGCCATCTCTGACTCCCCGTTTAACATAGCAATCCAGCCTCATGACTCATTCTCCTGTCTCTGCTTTATTGTTCCTTACAGCACCTATCACTGTCTAGGATTACAATGACATAGCTGGGTAGGGACTTCACTCATGACACCGACTGGAGAGGGTACTGGCATGTATTAGGTGCTCAATAAATACAAGGGAGCATCAAAAGGTTTGTGGAAAAATGAAAGGAAAAGACAATGGAGTGTTTCCACAAACTTTCTGAAGCCCCCTTGTACTTTCTGAGAGAATAAATGAAACATTATAATTAAAATGCAAAAAGCTTTCAAATAGAAATGAAGTGTAAACAAAGTCTTCAGTGTGGATTTCTCAGTTCCATATTCACAGTGTGTTACCAGAAGAGCCTCTATCCCGGGTCACTCAAGAGCCACTGCTATGCCTGCAGTTAGCTCCCGCCTCCTCCAGTGTGTCTTAGCTATATAAAGATGGGTTCCTTGTAGCCAAGGGCCAGGTCTGTCCTGCTCCAGCAGCAGAATTCTGGAGCCCCCACTTGTAGTTTCTGCAGCACAAATTGCTACAAGCTTCTCCGGTGTTTCTAAAAGGACAATCTATGGATTCTGTGAAAGAAATCTACCATCTGACTGTCAGTTTGTCGTACTGTGGTGGCTTGCGTGCTTGCTGTGATGCTGGAAGCGATGGGACCAGCCAGTATTTAAACACCATTTGGGTCACTCAGGATGTACAGATTTCAGGAGAGTTTCTGGACTAAGAGAGTAGGAAGAAAGACCTGGAGACCTACTTCGGAAAATTAGCCAATGAAAACTTTATGGATCATAACAGTACACTGTCTGACTTGCTTGCTTTGGGTGTTCTGAGGAGGATCAACTGCTGGAGAAAAACATCGTATTTGGTGAAGTAGAGGGCCAGCGAGAACAAGTGAGACGCTCAGTGAGGTAGACTGGCGGATGGGCTTGAACATGCCAGTGACTTTGGGGATGACTCAGGACTGGGCAATGTCTGCACCGCTGCACAAAAGTTCTCCAGGAATTGGAGCCAATGGATGGCTACCTATCCATCTATCTAAAGAAATGGTAATGATGAATTAAAAATGAAGTTAACAGTTTGTGATGTTTTCTAAGCTGTAAGATCTGTGTCTTGGGGAACATCTGATTTCTGATCCAAGGCTCTGCAGTGAGATTCTGGGTACAGACAAAACCAGAGTTTTTTCAGGCATCAGTGGTGACCATGATGATGACAGCAGGCAGCCTTTTTGTTGAGGACTTGGTATGTGCCAGACACTCCTTTAATCTGTACACAAGACAGTATTATCTCGAGTTTACAGATAAGGAGATAGAAGTATGCCGTTTCCCCAAATTCATAAGGTTAGTGAGTCTCAGAGGCTGATTTTAAGCCTAGAAGATTTCAATTCAAGCTCAAGCTCTTGATTATCCTGATATTTAGATGCCCAAAACTGAGATGAGAAACACACGACCACCTCGCCCTGCCACATGCCCACCTCACTACACAAGTAAACTATTTGTTCCCCCTGGCTTGCATGGCTTGAGGCAATATAATACTCTTGGCCACCTGCTCCAAGACCAGCCTCTTTATACATTAGTTCAGGAAACTCCCTTGTCCTTTGACCCATATGAACTCTGACGTGCAATGGCAACCAAACCACCCAGGAGAATCAGCCTGCATTTGAGAGTAGCCACATATGAAGTTAACATAAAGTGACCATTAGGTGGCGCTACACGAAAACGAATCTCACTTTCCATCCAAAGACATGTTTCACTGCAGACCTACCTACTCTCTGAAATGAAACCTGGATTATATATATAACGAGTCCTGGGGTGATGCTGTAGGATAAGCACTAGACTGCGAACTGCAAGGCCGGAAGTTCAAACCCACCAGCTACTCAACAGCAGCAGCATACACACATATGTACATTTTGTTGTTGTTAAGTGCTGTCTAGTTGGTTCCAACCCTGTATAGGGTTTCCGAGGAGCAGCTGGTGAGTTTGAACCACCCACCTTGCAGTTCAAACAGCTTTGCAGTCTGGCGCATTAGCCCACAGCGCCACACCAGGACTCCCATACGTACATAGATATGTATATATACATTTGTTGTTGTTGTTAAGTGCCGTTGAGTTGGTTCCAACCCACAGCAACCCTGTAGAGGGTTTCCAAGGAGCAACTGGAAAGCTTGAACCACACCAACCTTGCAGCTCAAACTGACTTTGCAGTCTAGCGCATTAACCACAGCACCATACCAGGACTCACATGTACACGTACACACACACACAAATATATATTTGTTGTTGTTTAGTGTCGTCAAGTCGGTTCCGACTCATAGCAACCCTGTCTAGGGTTTCCAAGGAGCAGCTGGTGAATTTGAACCGCCAACCTTTGCAGTTCGCAGTCTAGCACTTATCCTACAGTACCACACCAGGACTCCGTATATGTACACATATGTATATACATACATGTATATATGAGTCAACATTATTTCACAACAACATAAACATAAATTCAGAGTGAATTAAACAGCTATACATACTCATGACTTTTCTTTATCTCATTTAAGACCTCAAAGCACCGTGGGAAGGTCTTTTGCTACCTGTTAATTACAGTCTGGTTCAACAGTGGTTAAACAGCTGATTTCAACTCAACACTTGGCTAACAGCTCTCTGAGTAGATTCAAATAGTTCCACATGATTCCAATTTCAAAAATAAAAGGGAAAGAAATGAGAGCGAGTTAAAGAGGCCGGAGGACATGGACCAGAACTCAGATCTGGGTGGGAGAGCAGAGCAGGAAACCCAACCCTAGGATGGTGGGGGATGGGACAAAGGACGAAGGAGGCTCTGGTCTGGCAGCAGGGGAGTCCCCTAGCTGAGCATTCAGAGGATCCAGTAGGACAGAAAGAAACAACAGTATCACATCTGCTGTCAGGCTCTCTTTTAATTGCTTTACATAGGTTAGCTTATTTCATCCTCTCAAACATAAAAATAATCTATCATTATCCTATCCACTTTGCAGATGAGAAAAAAACGGGATCAGAACAGTCACATGGCTGCAGACACAGAGCCAGAACGTGATGACCGGTCAAATGAAGTCAGATCATTGCTTGAGGCTCTTTATAAGTTAGTTCAGGAAACTCCCCTTGTCCTTTGACCTTCTGCTCACTATGCTGTTATACTGCTTTCCTTCTCAGTACTGTTTCTTTTCTTGCACATACGAATTATCTTAAGATACTGAAAACTGAAGCTGTCAGAATTTAGGAAGCCCTCTCCTAATGACTAAGGAGCCCAAGCTCAACAGTTCAAAGGGGGAAGGTCAATAGTTCAAAACCACCAGCTGCTCCAAGGGACAAAGGTGAGGCTGTCTGCTCCCATAAAGGTTTTCAGTCTCCGAAACCCTAAGCAGAGTCATTGTGAGTTTGGATCCACTTGATGTCAGTGTTTTATTTACTTGTTTTTAGTCTGGGTAGTGCAACCAGTTAACTTGCTCAACTGCTAACCAAAAGGTTAGATTAGAGGTTTGAGTTGACCCAGAGGGGCCTTGGAAAAAAGGCCTGGTGATCTCCTTCTGAAAAAGAAGCCACTGAAAACCTTACGGAGTGCAATTCTACTCAGGCACACACGTGGGATCGCACACACGTGGGATCACCATGAATCTGAATCCACTCGGGCAAGTGCTTGTACTGTGGCTACTTTTTCACCTCCCAGTAATGTCCCTGGAGTCTGGGGCCGTTGCGGAGTCTTCCGATAGCTCACAACACCTTGCATGACTGCCTGCAAAGAGCAGACAAATCCAGAGGACTCCAAACAGTGGCTCGTATACACAGGACAAAGTCACACAAATCTACACCACCAGGAATTTATCAGAGTCCTGGTGTGGCGCTATGAATTAATGCGTCAGACTGCAAAGTCATTTGAACTGTAAGGTCAGTGGTTCAAGCTCACCAGCTGCTCTTTGGAAACCCTATACAGGGTAGCTATGGGCCGGAATCGACTTGACGGCACTTACCAACAACAGCAGGAAATCATCAATCAATCGTGAGGATGGTGTAGGACCCGGGCGGTGCTTCATTCTGTTGTGCACTGGGTCGCTGTGAGTCGGAACTGACTCAACATAACCTAAGGACAACAGTAACAACAAGGAATCTCTTACCTCTCCAAGGCTCTGTCTGTCCTGCTTGTCATCATAGCCAGATGAGTAGAAAGGCTCATAGGTAATAAGATCTGGACGTTCAATGTCATAAATGGCCTTGACCTTGGGGATGGCTGCTAAATCCTTGTAGTCCAGGATTTCATTGTCTACTCTTGCCTGGCAAATTGAAACAGAAAGAAAAATTCCTGCATAGGAGCATTTCTTTGAGGAATTTTGCCAGTGAATTGTGTCTTGCTGAATGAAGAGGACTTAAAAGATACACAAAAGTCAGCATGCTTTGCTCAGAACAGTCACACTCTTTGGAAAGTTGCCCAGGTAGGGCCATATATTAATCACATTTTTAAAACAGTGACCAACATTTAGGAAAACGCCTATATAGAATTCATCAAGTAGAGAAGTCTGAAAACCTTAAGGGTAATTTTCTAAAGTTCTTGAAGAGAAGGAAAAACTCAGACAGATGGTAAAAAAAAATAAAAATCTTTCCAGATGGCTACAAACAAGAATTGCATATTTAATGAACTAAATATTTAAATACCTTTGTGGAAGAATTCAAAAACACTCAGAATCAGCATTATACATTATAAAGTGGATAGTTAATCTCCAAATAGAAGCAATTTATATGTAACAATTTTTAAAGCCTTGCATCACATCATTGGACTTCACAGATCATCTATTAGATCATCCCAATGATGGACAAATAGAAACTTAATTGCACGTAGTAGAATGTGACTGAGAAATCTGATCTACAAAAATGATGACCAGGTTCTCGTAACAGGGAGGGTTTCTATTCTGGATTATAACCTCGGTTTGTATTATCTACTGATTTAACCGGAAGTAGATACTTACATAGATGGTATGACCTGGTGAGCCTGGGATACTGGAGCCGGGTCGAGAATAAATGCTCTCGGAGGAGGTCCTGGTAGGCTGCAAAACAACCAGTGACTTGTAAGGCTTCGAAGCGTGGCATCAAAATCAAGGCTGACCTAGGTCCCTAAGCTTTGCTAAAAGCTAAGCCAGTTAGAAAGACATGATTTATGAACTTCGTGCAAAAGGAGAAATTTCACCTAGAAAAAAAGTGCAATTCTGTTTTGACAATGCATTTGGGGTTCTTCCTGGGACTTCCTCCCTTCATCTTCTACAAGACCTCTGGCTCTATGTTCAAAACCCATCAAAGCTGTCTGTTTGTCTCCATCTCCTTTGCCACCACTCTAGACCAAAGCAATGGTCTCCAACGCAGTTTCCTTTCATTCTTGGTACCAGTGACCATTCTACCTGGGTGGTGCAATTAAGTGCTTGATTACCATCTGAGAGGTTGGCCGTTCAAACCCATCCAAATTGCCTTGAAAGAAAGGCCTGGTGACCTGCTTCTGAAAAACCTAGGGAGCAGTTTTACCCTGCACACATGGGGTAACCAGGAGTCAGAATCAACTCGAAGGCCACCAACCACCACCCGCCTGACAGATCTCTGAACAGAATTTGGATGGTCACAATCTTGCTTATGGCTTCACTGCACACTTGGAATAAGGTCTCCACCTCCCTCCCTACGCTGCCCCTCCCTCTGCATCCTCACTCGTTGAATATGGCGCACCCTGTCTCAGGGGTCTTAGCCGCTACTCTTCTGCCTCCAATGGCTCAGCCCCTATTGTACTTGGTATGCTTTTTCCTTGGCTTAAATATCACCTCCCCAGAAAGGCCTTCCCTGATCTTTGGCTCTAGATTTTGTTTTCCTGGCTATTTTTCCTCTTCTGGCATTCTGCTTCTCTTGTTCATAACAAATTAAATCTACAGCTATATATTTATTGGTCTCCTTGCATCATGTCTGTCTTCCTCATTAACTTTAGTCACAATTTCTGCTCTCACAGACTTGGTTTTTTTTTTTTTTTTATCCCCCACCATTATATATACTGAAGGAGCTCTGGCAGTGTAGTGGTTACCAGTCAGGCTGCTAATCTCAAGATCTGCAGTTCGAAATCATCAGCTGTACCTCAGGTGGAAGATGAGGCTTTCTGCCCCCGTAAAGATTTACAGCCTCGGAAATCCTACGCAGGGTTGCTATGAATCAGAACCGACTCCACAGCACATAACCACCATATATACCAGATGCTTCTCACAGGTACATAGAAAACAAGGAATAAAAATACTTATCAAGTGAATGAGATGGAATTACTATTTGTAAACAAATACTCAGTCAAATGGACACGTGACACAGATAAACCACAGAGAGGTCCTGGAATAAGCTTGGTGGTCTGCTATGGGAGGTGAGGAAGCATAAACTAAGATCAACTGCCTTACAGTGCCACTTAGCATATTCTGGAAAATTCTGAAGAGAAAAACAGAAGGCTCAATCTTAGTAAACATCCTCATCTCTGTGCAATTATTTCCTGGAGAGAATACTTCATGGTTCTACATTAGGAATGGAATCTTTTCCCTTTCAGTACTGTTTCTACTGATAATTGGCACACTGAATATGAGTGTAACTGGGCCAAAAGAAACCTGTCACCAAAGATGTTGCTTGACTCTCTATAACTCATATCCAAAGGAAAACACATCTGATCATCAGCTCAAGACAGCACTGATTATGACTCGCTCCAAAACAAAAAAATGCATGGATCATGATCAGTCATCCTCAGCCAATGTCTCTGTATCTGAGGTACCAGGACAAGTGGGGGCTGGGAAAAATCACACCGTATCCAAGCCCATCACTTCTGGGCCTCCTCCCCAGAATCTGTCAAGTTCAAGCAGTTTCCTTCTAGAGTTACAATTTTACAATTACAGGCATATCTCAGTATGACAAAATTTCCAACCATGAAATAACTAAAACATAAAGAATTCACATAAGAACATTCCTTAAAAAATGTTCAGTTCTGAGATCCACTTTCCAATCAAAATACAGAAGTGACATAACCAAAGTAAGACACTTCTTTAAAAGCAAGAGAGGTCATCTCTTAATGAAATGGGATCAATATCCAATCCTGTGAGATAATTATTAATTGCAGGTAGTTTGTCAGCTGAAAGTGGCCAGTATCTAATATCTGCCAAACTATCCAAATGAAACTTTCTTACAGGAAAACAGAAGAATATTAAAAAGCTGTTGTCATTAGGTACCATCAAGTGGGCTCATAATGGCTCCAAGCACAACAGAAAGAAACCAGAATTGTTATGTTTGGGCTCATTGTTGCAGACACTATGTCAGTTTATCTCCTTGAGGACTTTCTTCTATATTGCAGATGCTCTACATTACCCAGTATGGTGTCCTGCTCCAGAGGTTGGCCCTCCTGATACCAGGTCCATCCTTACTACTAAGTAGTATTCTGGTTGTACTTCTTCCAAGACAGATTTGTTCATTCTTCTGGTAGTTCATAGCATAATCGATATTCTTCCCCAATGGCATCATTGCAATGCATCGCTTCTTCTTCAATCTTCCTTATTCATTGTCTAGCTTTTGCATGCATATGAGACAACTGAAACCATCATGATTTGGGTCAAGTGCACCTGCGTCCTAAGGTGGCATCTTTGCTTCTCAATACTTTAAATGGGGCCTTTTGCAGTAGACGTGCCCAGTGCAATACATTGATTTCTTGATTGTGTCCATGGGTGTGGACTGTGGATCCAAGTAAAATGAAATCCTTGACAACTTCTACCTCTTCTCCGTTTATCATGACGTGGCTTGTTGATCAGTTGCGAAGGTTTTGTTTTCTTTATGTTCAGGTGTAATTTACAATGAAAGCTGTAGTCTTTGACCTTCATCAGTGCTTCAAGTCCTCTTTCTACAAGTAAGGCTTCTCACAGGTTATTAATGAATCGTCCTCCAGCCCTGAATTTGTGTTCTTCTTACAGTCCAGTTCAGCATACAGATTGAGTAAGTATGGTGAAAGGATACAACCCTGATACACTGTTTCTGATTTTAAACCACAGTATTCCCTTGGTCTGTTCAAAGGACTACCTTTTGGTCTGTGGACAGGTTCCCCATAAGCACAATGAAGTGTTCTTGAATGCCAATTCTTTGCAATGTCATCCATAATTTGTTATTAAAAAGCAACTAACATTTATTACTGTAATCATAGTAACATGATTGCAGCCACTTACTAGGTGGCTACACTAGGCGTGTCTCAGTCATAACCTCATATATTTTTCTCAACAACCCTACATGGTAGGCTCTGTTTTCATTCATTTTACAGATAAAAGTCTGACTATTCCAAGTCACACAGCTAAGAAAGCAACAGAGTCACATCTGAGTCCAGACACTCTAGTTCCTGAGCCCAGATGAGATTTTATAATGTGACCATTCATTTCCCATCAAGATAGCTATGGGACATTTAAATGGATGGAAGCTATAGGAGAGTATTGAGATGGACATATTTTACTGACACAAAGGTCTGTAAGGGGAGTCCTGGTGTGACCTAGAATCAGCATGGTCGCTTGTTCAATCCCACCAGAAGCTCCTCAGAAACCCTATACAGGGTCACTATGGGTCAGAACTGACTCGACAGCACTTCACAACAACAAGGCTCTGTAAGGAGGAGCCCAGGTGGCACAATAATTAAGTGTTTGGCTGTTAACCAAATGTTGGTGATCTGAACCCACTCAGTGGCTGTGCAGGAGAAAGATCTGGCAATCTATTTTCATAAAGTTCACAGCCTGGGAATCCCGAAGGGTCAGTTTGACTCTGTCCTGCGGGGTCACTGTGAGTTATAGTAGACTGCTGACACAGAGATCCTATACAGGGTTTCCAAGGAGTGGCTGTTGGGTTCAGCTGGTGAGTTTGAACTGCCAATCCTGTGGTTAGCAGTCCAGTGCTTACCCTACACGGACACCTGGAACTGACTAGATGGCACCTAACAACAACAGATCTGTAATCACCTCATTATTACGCACTGTGTTAGGGTGGGGGAGGAGAGTCAGCTGTCTTCAGTTACTGGGTTGCTATGACGAAAGCCTGTTTACATCAACAAGTTTCTCAGACATTGCATACAGAGCCAAAGTGCTGGAGTTGCACACGTTACTAATTTTTATTTTGCCAAGTGTGGGTCAGGAAGACTTTCTGCCTTTCCTGTAACAATGCGCCTGGGATGGGTCTGAGGCGCTCTGTTTTCCTCCAACTGTAGAAGCCGGTAAGAAGACCTAAGTACCAGCACACACACGCAGGGATGAAAATCTCCACAGAAAAAAAAAGTTTGGTGCTAGTAATCTATTTTGTAAGGAGCCCTGGTAGTATAGTGGGTTACACAATGGGCTGCTCATCACAAGGTCAGCAGTTCAAGTCCACCAGCCATTCCACAAGAGAAAGGAGCCTTGGAAACCCTAACAGGGCCAATGTGAGGTGGAGCTGATTCAGCAGCACACCACCACCACCAATGTATTTGAGCTGAGCTTATTTCGGTCTCCTTTCCTCATTGGATTAAAGCTATGGAGTTCTCTGACACATTTATCTGGTTCATTTACACTCTTTACACAGTTGGACTGCAAGGTTTTAAGAATTACTCAATAATTTGAATATTTATCAAGTCCAACTGATTCTATAAAAGTTTTTGGATCTGAATGACCTCCAAATTGCATACACCTGCCTGAGTTGTCTAACTTCAAGTGAAATCTTTTAGAGGTTTTTATAGTCAGACATTTTTCAAAATCAATTTAGCTGATTTGCTCTCTTTCAGACACATATCACTCCTGGTTATTTCTTTACCATGAAGTGTAGTGTCAACTCACTTCAGAGTCCCCCAGATCTCCACAGAGGATCAGTAGGTGCCATTCTTTATTGTAGGTGACCATCTGAAGACATTCGGATATCCAGGTTAACAAGAATGAACCAGGAACTATGAACTCGATGCAAGCGCCCTATAGCTCTGCAGACTGCTCCCACATTTCTCTACCAGAATGAAGACAAGCAAAATGACTTCCTTGCTTATATTATAAGTGAAGAAGAT